AGGAGAGGTACCCCCATAGCTCCTTTGCTCTGTTTAAACCAACTCAGACTGAAACCTGAGAATAAAGCAGGGTCTGTTTTCCCTGCTTTCACACCAAGAAATGATGATTCTACAATAAGAATTTAAATAGCATGGTGTTTGAGTCATGCCTCTGCCTCTTTTAGCACTTCAGAGACGGTAACTAGCTCAAGTGCAAAGGGCAAGCAGATAAGTACAAGATACATTCAGAGAGGACATCAAACAGGTGCCATTTTGTACTCTTTCTCATCAGTCAAGTGTTTTGCTCAGTTTGATGCTCTTAACAGCTCTTTGTGAATTTGCTGCAAGCAGCCACCTCAGAATCTGTAGGAATCCCTCAGAGCTTGTTTCAACACAAAAAAAATGGAAAATCATGCTGCTCATCTTTCTCCAGACTTCTCTGACAGCTCCTGGTGAGGAAAGCTGACGACAGGCACAGAAGCTATGTGTATCCTTGCCTGCTCCACTCCTTATCAACGATAAGTAAAGTTGTATCTGCTGAAAACTACTTTAAAAGTTCTTGTAGATGCCGTTCCTTCTCCTGAAATGGAACAAAGACATTGACTGATGCATTGCAGAAAGCCTGGTCTTGATTAGTTTCCATAGCCAGAGCATGAAGACAGAGTTCCAGAGAGCACAGACGTATTTTTATATACAAGTATAATTTGAGTTCGACTACAAGAGTAAAAGTAAAAGCTAATTTGCAACCTTTCCACCCATTCCCTCCCAAAACCCTTGTTCTGGAAGATGAGGTACTTCATACAATGAGTTAATTCACAAACAGTGCGTGTTGGAAGGAACACAAATTCTTCAAAGCAGTAGACCCCAAAATGTGACTAGGGAATTAGGCTTGTGTCCCAAAATTCCAATCAATACAAAATTAGGGTAGTATTAAATGAATATGTCATATTAAATACCACATAAATGCACAGGCAGTAAATCACATAAAGGAGGTTTTTGATTCTGTGGCAGTTACTGCAGTTAAAGTTTGAATAAGCCTAACAGAGAATATGCACTTAATAATACCGTACAAATGCTAAAACTCATAACTTTTTAGCCACATTTTTAATCTATGGCTTTTTAAAAGTTCTTTTGCAATGTTTTTTTCTTTTACTTGTAGCATTTAATTATGGATAAAGTGTTGGGTAATAAACAAACACAGTAACATCTAACTGTTTTACCAGCATATGCCTACAGTTGCTGCGGTTTCTAGTAATTATATTTAGTCTGGTAGGTCCAGAAATTAATTACCATCTACTCTTCACTGTAGGGGATTGAAATAATCATAATAATCAGTTACTGTTTGTACTTTGTAATTACACGTTCTTTACCGTGCAAATAATTTGCCAACGTTCACCAAGTAAAATGGTCATTCATAGCACAAAGCTAGAGGTCCTCTTTGTGTTTCCAGCACTATTTGAAAAAAGCCATTAGATTTCCAACTGTAGCACCACAGATTTTCTTATGGAATTAGTAAAAATACCCCGTACATGTGATCTGCAACATTAGCCTCCATGCATGAAAGTGGAAGTCAGATGAGACTTGAAGGCCTGAATTTCTGAAGTGACTTAGGTGTTACAGTGCTTCATTTTTAGATGGCTGCCTCACAGGGCAGAATCAGATGCTTGGAGTTATGCTTCCTACAAGGAGATTTGGGAACCTCTAAATGAAGTTGGTAACAGCCACTGTGCTGAGGGAAGAGCCTCTTAACATGAGACTGTGAAGAGAGAGTGGGCCCTCTTAGGGTCCACCACTACAGGTAGAAAGATACTTATATCAAATGAATATGTAAATAGCGATCATAGAGTTAGGGGTCCTTGCAAAAGATGCCATTCAAAAGTGTCACTGAAGCAGGAAAAAGTCTGCTCCTTTTCTTTTCAAACACAGCTGGCAGAGAAGCTGCTCCTCAACCCCCTTTAAAACAGTAGTTCTGAGGTTGTGGTAGAGCTTCAGTTAGTACCTCAGCCCTGCATCAGCCACATGCAGAAGACCACCCTGATGGCCTATCTTTGAGGTGTTTTAGATAGTATTAAGACACTGCAACACACATTCCTCCTCTAGTTGAAGCTCAGCCACTGGGATTTACTTCATTAGGAAGAGAAATAATACAGCTCTCCAGCCTAAAGATGAAAACATTCATCTAAGGGAGGGAGTCTTGAGTACCCGAAGTACCAGGATTACTTAGTATGCAAAGGGTTTAGTATGCTTAGGTGGTATTGGTCACTACCACTTTTGCATGGCAAAACATGATGCTGAAACAAGGAACATAACTCTAAAAAAGAAGTTTGGCCTTACAAGGAGCCATCACATGTAAAAGAGGCTATAAGGAGACATCTGGTCGTGGTGGTCTAGGAATTGATACCATATTTTAATCCTTGCAATTGTTAAAAATGAAGCGATTCTTTCTTTCAGCTGAAGATCTGAGATTAGACTTCAAGGTATGTCTTACTGTCTTTTTAATCAATGAATCTAAGTAATTTTTCTCTTTTTAAATGGCTGATGGCTCCAGCATATTTTGTTTGAATGTCTACATTGACTTCTGGCTTGATAGTTCATATGAAGGCAAACCTTTTAACTCTGTTAAGTTGGGATATATGGTGCTCCTGTACTGGAGCAATGGAAACCCTTGAAACGGTCATGTCAATGTTCAAAAGAATACAAACCTAGAAGAAAACATAAAAGCACGTTGAAATTTCCCTCATAGTTTGAGAACGTAAGGTTACTGGGATTCATTCAACAGCAGAATGCTGTACAAGACAAGCTACTGTTGGCTGAAAATTAAGATGTTTGCTTCTACCTTCATTTAACTGAGCTCATCCCTGTGAAACTCTTTCATGTGTGAAGAAATACATTATTCACACTCCTTAGATATAA